CGCATTTCCCAAGTCAGAAAAACGTGATGTATTACTGCCCATCAACTTTTTTGAAAACAAAGACTAACTTGCCACTGAAATATTAGATAGTAACAAAATTAGCCTACGTTTTCTTCCAGATTGTATATAACTTACAAACGACCATACATTCATAAAAACTTTTGCATTTAAAACAGAAGTAAGACGCAGCACACATAGTTGCCAAGTGCAGTGTGCATCTTATAATGAAATCATGGTCTTGCAGTGTCTCAAGCAACCGAAACTTTACTATTACATGCTAATGTGCATCAAATATTAGCCTAATGTAACCATTTGGCGCTGTCCCAACGGATTTGGCTCGGTAACGTCGACTCACTTTATTTGTTGCTAGCAACACTGCACGGTGCTGCCAGCATTAAAATGTTCCTCCCGAGAAAATGGGAATATCGCAAATGGTGTGAAAGTTTCGTAAACTTTTTAATTTATTGCGAATTGTTTTGTTAGTTAATTTTGTGCCAAATTATTATGAAGGGAAGTACGTACTTTATATTGTGTTATTTTAAAATATGTCAGCGTGTCGTTTTGAAGTTTGAAAGTATATTCTACGCGCTGTAGATCCACGCAAGAGTACATCTATACGGAGTCCAGAGAATGAACTTTAGACTTTAACCATAAATGAGCCTCATTGTAATAAACTGTGAATCACCAATAATAAAACCCAATAATTACTTTAGATTCAAGTTCATTTAAGTACCTATATTCTGTAAATGAAAATACATTAAAAGGTAGAAAATCCTAATCAACCTTAATACTAGAATATAAATTAAAATATTCTAGAATACACTCCAACTTCTCAGCTTTGTTCACATGTAAACTTATTACCAAAGTTTGGACGCACATAATGTTGCCACACGTACGTAGAAACTCCCAGATTTCGGGGTAAAAACAGTACGTCGACGTTGTCGCGGGTTGCTGTTGTAGTTTATTTGTTGCAGAGCGTCATTTTGTTGCGTCGTGAGTGTTGTGACCCGCAACAAATTTGTTGTCTGTCCGTTATTCTGAATAATGGTCTTTGTTTAGAATAGTTTCCAAGTTAGAAACTACAGCGGTTTGTGAACAAGACGCTGTGGTTTGGTATGATTGTGTTATATAGTTAACTACATTTTATATTTTTGAAAATTGTAAGAGGTGATTCGAACTCTTGTAAATCGACTTACCTTTTAATTTCTAAATGTGCGCAGTTTCTTCATTATTTCTCTTCACTATACTTTACATATAGGTGATACAGGTCTGATACAAATTGCTATAATAGATATCACGTAGTAAGCATCAGTGTCCAAAATTAAACTCGTTTAATCATTGACATAATGTTTACAGTTAAATGTTTATCGTTGATTCATAAACAAAGTTTATACTAAATTAAGTCCGTGTTCTTACTAAGTAACTGATCCAACATTTTGTTTGAATTTAAAACAAACAATAACATTTAATTAATAGATCTGAATCGTAAGCTTATTAATTAACTCAATCGTTTGTTTATACAAAACAACTTTAGCGTTGAAGTTGTTTTGCAACAAACAGACGGATCTCCGTTACGGAAGTCAGCGACTTTTCAATAAATACATGTCCTTATTTACAACTACATTGGAAGTTTAAAAGTTTCAAGAAGCGGATGTATCAAAAACTGTGCTCGGGGAGATGAGAAGCCGATGATGGCAGTGAAGAAGAAGTTCTGAACAAACTATGCTAGTTTCGGACGCGATCGTACAAACTTTTCACATAAATCGAGCTTCGTTAATAATTTACCCATTCGGAATTCGCTCGATGATCGTTTTCCAGCTGCGGAACACGGAACAATTTTCTCATGTTACGTAGAGAGCTCCACTCCTATCTGTGAGACAAATTATTACGGTGCGACACAGAGTCTGACACACTGTGTAATGGAGACGCGCTATACGACAACTCGTTAGCGGTAGAGCGAAGTATCGGAAAATTTTATAAGTTATTAATTTATTGTCTGTTGGGAGTTCGACAATGTATGGAATGAGAAAATTTGTTCGAATAACAGACAATGAAAATTATCGCAGTTTGAAATACTATTGTCATTGTCTCAAGAAAAACAAATTGGATATTGAAGCGAGAAATGTAAAGTTAGACAATACGATTCAAAATGCTACTTTCAAAGTTGTAATTGTTGATTTACGTCAAAGTCAAAGTAAACTCAAATTTATGGCTAGTTTACCTATTCACACAAAAGGGCAAACCCTTTTTCTTGTTAACCATCCAATTATCGCTTGCAGTCTAGACAATTTCGTGAAAACTTAGCAGACGATGTAATAAAAAAGGAATTGTATTGTAAAATATATTGTAGCAATTTCGAACATTTTACGATAAACAAATATGAATGCTTTGACGCTTTCAGCTCCACGTTTATGTGGATGACAGGCGAGGTTACTGCTACAAATGAAATTTTGATAAAGTCTGAATATTGCTTGTTGACGTTATTAAAAACTACAATAGAGTTGTTAATGAACGGAATTGTATTCGAATACAAAAAGCAAAAATCAGATTGATAAATACAAAGAGCTTACAAATCATGATTGCTACAGAAATAAGTTTAACGAACTAAGAAACGGTATTTTCTATAATACAAATTACAGTACTAGTGCAGTACAATTCGTATTACTGCAACAAATCTAGAGTATTTCGACATAGGAAGTCGCTTGAAAAGGAATAAGCCACGTGGATTGAGACCATTCGTATGAGGAAATAAAATTACTACTATTCCGTTTGAACGAATAGTAGTACTAGTTTTAGACACACCATATTTGTTGCACCATATTCCATTCTAGTTTCCTTTTCTTTAGTATTGGTAACCTAAAGTAATAAATATTAGGCTAAAAGTGTATGTGGTTATAATTAGCTGGGAGCTTATAGTATATCACAAAAAAAAATAAAGAATGTAGTCACACAATGAACAATAACAAACAATATTAAACATTCAGATAACTAGCAAACAAACTTCTAAATGACCTTGGACTAATCACAATGATATTAACACCATTAGCTAAAGCATTCACTCAAACAAAGTCCGCGTTAATACGATTAATTATTGAAACTCGCAAAAGTACGGAAGTCTATGTCCTATTGTCTTGTTAAAAATGTGAAAGAAATCTTTGTGGTATTTCCTTTGTGGTTCGACATTAATCCTACAGAAATTAATGTGATATCTGTGGACGAAGGAATAAAGGTCGGATCGTAAATTTGGAAAGACCTTGTTTACGAGCATTTTATTTTTTTAGTACGTTTCGGCAGCAAGCTCCTGAGCTGACCTAAGTTACGATTTGTAATTTTTACGACTTAATATAAGTAGTTATTTTATAATTACATATATTCTTCTGTTATCCTAAACAATTTCATTACGTTGGTAAAAAGGTTGGTAATCAATTGAAATTAGTCCTTCTTCATTTAATAACACGTGACAAATTGTCGGAAATATTCGCGTTTTCTTTTATTAACGCAATGTTATCGTTTGACAAAAAAGATAGAAAGTTAATTAGTTTGAAAATAATAAAATTGTGTCTATTTTTGACAGATTCTGTAGTTACCTATTCTATTGTAACTATATTTGCCATCGTGTTGCCTGACATGGTTCTGGTATAAATAAAAACTGTGTCAGTTAGATACAATACTTTTTTGGTACTGCGTGATCGTGGATACATTAATTCAGTTACAACTTTAACCCAGTATCATAAATATTATCCGCCGAAGGGTCGATTTTTCAATCATCTTAACTTTATAAAAATAACAACTGACAGTATTTAGTATGGAAGAATTGTCAAATATTCAAAGTTATTCCTGTGATAAAATATAATTGGCGTTGGATAAATCGGCCCTAAATATCGTTACCGTAATTATGTATAATGTCGTTGTAAATAATATTAGTTGGTTAAGATGATGATGGGATGCTTCAGCATGAATGGGCTGGCTCGACCAGAGTGATACCACGGCCTCACAGATCGACGTGAAACAACGTTGTGTTGTATTTCGTCGTGTGAGTTTACCCCCTCCCTTTCCCTAATCCCTGAATCCGAAACAATCCTCAAATTCCTAATTCCTAAAGGCCGGCAACGCACTGGTATCGCCTCTGGTGTCCAGGTGTCCATGGGCGACGCCGATTACTTATCATCAGGTGATCCGTCAGCTCGATTACCGGATTATCCCATAAAAAAAATCCAGTCAGTTGAAATTTTTTTTTTAAGTTTTTAAAGGTTTTTTAAACAAATTGCTCAACCTATTTATTGAACGTATGTATTTTTGTGAACTTGCATATAATCAACAGAAATACGGAATATTGATTTAACCAATTGCCCTGAATCAACAATGATTTTTATTTTTATCGCAAATGGACGTTTTGTTTACGGTAATGACCTTCTATGGTTTTATTTTGCGCTCAAATAAAATTTCAAACATTGAGTTATTGATACATTCATTTTTATTTTTACGAGGTAATCCTTGATAAAATGTCTGTAATACAAAGTTAATTACTTTGATTCTAATGTTAAAGTATGAATTATTCATTTGTCTTTGTGTCATTTCACGAAAAATAATGTGTTTAGCTGCAGCGATTTTCTTATTTATGTTAGTCATTTAAAGATAAATATTATGATGATTGTAACTTTTTATAATATCATAGAAAGATATCAATAAATATGAATTTACTGACAAAACATTATCAATGATAAGGCTGTGGTAGCCTAATTTTAGTAAAAAATTTAGTGTAATATGAACAAAGACAAGATATTGCATTATTATCAATAGAACACAAAATAGATTTACTAAAAATGGCGGGTTCCTCACGTGAATATACTGAGAAAAGTTCTACAACTGATTGATACAAATCTCTATACCTACAATGACAGAGATTTCATAATGTACCTATTATAATACATATCATAAAAAAATCAATATAAAGAGGTAGATTACTTACAGTGAAACTAACATATTTTTTCTTGTTACAGGACAAAATGCGGCTGCTTCTACTTCTCTTCACTATCCCCTACATCGTGGGTCAACAACAATGGGTTCCATGTTCAGAACTGAACGATGACCTTCGATATCCTTGTCGGTGCAAAGTGCAGGTGGACCGAGCCCTGCAGCTAAGGATCTTGATGAACTGTGACAGGGTTGTGTTCCCTGGAGACTTTCCCAGCCTGCCGTATGGCGCTCCTATCATCTCGTTCAGTCAGAGGTTCGCTGGACAGCAGACTTTGCCGACTCAGGTTTGTATTGCTTAAATATAATTATGAAAATTTTGAGATTCGTAATCTTGTAAAGTTAAGTAAAATCTTGCTTAATTATCTATACTCTCAAATTGTACGTCATCATACGGCTTATTCGTTAAATATCTCTCAAGTTATGAAATCTCTTACATTGATTGATTCTAGATTAAAAGCAAACCAAGGTAGACTTTACATTATGTATTATCAAAATAGAAGAAAAGTACCTACTCATCAGATTTCTAAGATAATAAAATGCAAATATAAAGTTCGAACAATCTTTATACATACTACGTATCACAGATTAATTAAAACTGGATAAGTCAGGACCACGTCGCGCGACCGTTCGCGTCAGACTACTAATGTCAGAGCTTGTCCAGATTCTGAAATCAGAACATGTATCTGTTTTAAATTCAAGCCACCTTTGCTGTTTTCAAATGGAACGTTAGTCCAATGGCGCTCTAAATATCTCCCTGGAGATAAAAACAGCTTTGAAATTGTGACCTTTCATTTCCAGAGCACACGATCTGTAAATTGTATTTGCTCTAGCTTGCCTTAACGGATCTGTAATGCATTTTCTGTTAGTGCACTATGAAAGAGTTTCAATTTTGTTTCATTAAACTTTCTTCTTTGATTTGCATTCACTGTCTGAATACTAATTATTGATATAACTTCGTTTATATGCAAATGTTTTTTGTAAACCTACAGTATAGATGATTTATTTATTTATCATTTCATGTACCTACACCACACAGATAATATTACAAAGGACAACACATTACAAGCATGAGGTACATAGGTACTGCATATCCCTTGAGGGATTTCTTCCTGCAGACCTGCGACAGGAAAAGGAATTTAAACATTAGACACAGTGTAAATGTTACATGCAATGATCTTCGTCTTTCTAATAAAAGTACCTATAACAGTGGTACATTATGGAAATTATCATTAGGACTGATTGAATTATTTTAACTGAAACCGACCTATCAATCTAATATCAAAATATTAAAACAGTGGGTGAAAATTCTATTAGCACAATAATTTTCACTTAATACACAAGATAAATTGGTACAAATTAGTTGGTATTATCGCGGTATGCGAATGATTTCTATTTGCGAGATCAACATGCGATCGTTCATGATCTGATAACCGCAGCCGCGGGTCGGAACGAGTGGACTGATTGCATGATTTGCTGCCGGTAGTATTTGTGTTGATTTTATTTTATGTACATGTTTGTCTATTTGTTTGATTGACTTTTTCTTTAAAATCTTTGTTCTTTCTTCTAATTTTAATGAGGTTTGACTGAATATAATTATTTTACACGAAGTGACTTAGAATGATCCCAGCTATATATTCAAAACTAAATAACTGAAAAATTTTATTGGCCTAATAGCTTTTACTGTCTATATGTTTGCCTGACGTACATAGTTCATAGACAAAGTTTTCTTTTAAAATGATGTCCAGTTACTGAGAATATTTTATTTTATAGTATCTAGTAGATAAGTAGTAAGTCAGGAGGTTTTGCGGTCATGGATGAGTAGAGTAAAATCGGTTATTAGGGTTAGTCGGGATTTAGGTTAGTCATCAGTGCTATGCGCTAAATCTTCTACAAAATATAACAACGGGAAAACAATAAAAATCTCATTAAACAAAAGACCATAAGTCTATCATTAATATTAAAATGTACAATCAATTTGTGGAATCATGCGGCGTTTCCCATTTCGGCGCGTTGTTCGTATTTATCGGCTCATTTGTTTTATCTGACGTGGCAGCTCTTATTGTGACGTCAGAAAGCATACGCGCCAGAATTTATACCAATTCATATCTGATTGTAAACATAACTACACATCAAGCTATGCAAAACCAGTATGAAGAGACCTTTGAATATACGGAAAGATCATAAGAGGCGAGACTTTGATAAACTAGTTAGTATAGCTCCATGTATAGAGTACATTGTACCGGGGAAGTGTTTTGTTTAATTTCAATGTGTTAATTGTATATAAGTTTGGTTTGAGAGAACAATTGGCATATTATATAGATGATATATTATTATGATAATGCATTAATGCACACAATTGAGTAGTTAATGTATTTTCACTTCATTAGATTCAATGTTACCTAGGATATTGAGCGTGGCTAATGATCGAGTCGAGGTTTATGAGACACACAGCATATTAATTGTTATTAAGACAATACATTTTCTGGTATACTATAATTCTGTCTTCATTTTCAAGGAAAAGACTTTATAGTATAGTATTTTTTTTATTAAGGAGGGAAAACCATCGAATGTTTGCTCCCGCCTGGGTGAGACGGGAGGGAATGTCAGACTCTTACTGACTAAAAACCACCCCGTTCCTTCTCCTGCACGTCGAGCCGGAGTCCCGGTTACCCGTTAGGTTCTCCGCAACTCATATTATAGTATATGCAGTATATTCCATAGATTCTTCAGATAAATTGCATTGATAATAACTACGACATAAGTCACCCGACAAATACTCTTAAATATCAGTAATATCTGAGAGAGGAAATATGTCATCCTGTACTCTCTCAGTTAATTGTCTGTAGTCTATTACTACTCTCTATTGACGTTCCTATCTAACTTCTTAGGACTAGCAACAAGCTGGACCACACACTGCTAGTTTTCTCTATAATTCCATTCATTCCTTAGCGTCGATCTGCTTATTAAGTTCCTCTTTCTGCATACATGGGATTCTGCACTAATAACTTCCACACTACATTAGAATATATGATATAATTTCCACAAGTACTTAATTAACATGGATTTCCAGAATGCAATAATTATAGTTTTGATTGTATTAGTAACAGCAACAGAGTATAAAAAACGCATAAGTTTCTGTACTGATGCAGTAATGTAGCTAATTAGGTACTTCAAGTGTGGGAGAGCCATGCTTCGGCACGAATGGGCCGGCTCGACCGGAGTGATACCACGGTCTCACAGAAAACTGACGTGACAACACTACGTCTGACGACTGACGTCACCCACACGACGAAAAAACACTTGCGTTGTGTTTCGTCGTGTGGGTGAGGTTACCAGCGACCCGATTATCCCCCTCAATCCATGGGCGACGCCGATTGCTTACTATCAGGTGATCCGTTTGCTCGTTTACCGGCTTATTCCATAAAAAGCCTATTATCTTAATATTAACTACTAAAATCCTTTAACTCGTTTAAGTATAATGTATATCAAAGAGTTGCTATTACACAATTTCTTCGGCACTAGATACCCAACAAACTAACAACAAAATGATAAACTAAAATCTAATATCTAAACTGATTTTAATACACTATACAGATTTTAAATTAATATGAATATAATGTCTGCTTACAAAACTAGTTTGTCCCGAGGCCCGAGTATAGTTTTTGTAGAACTTCACCGGAACGAGGACAACTTCGGAATACTTTTTGCATGTCTAATGGCCGATTCTATTATATTAAATAAAGTTCTTGAAAGCATTTTGCAAAAGTTTTCATGAATAATAAGAGGTGTTCTTAAGTAGTCAGTTTTTTGTTGAAGTTGTTTTGGCCGTACTCTCAACTCTACATAAGTACTGAGTTTAATGTGGTAGTTGTTCAAAATATTAGTTGTTGCACAAATGTGGCTATCAGACGGGATCCGAGACCCTTGGGGTTTGATAAGGTCCCCGGTAAGAAGAAGTATTAATTATAGGTTATTCCAGATTCTAGAAAAATCCGTATAATTCTCATGACTAGTTTGAAATTGAGTGTGGTGAAAGTAAAAAAAAATGTCTGCGAAAAGGTGATAGCCACATTTTTATTTGTTCGTCTACTAAACCTTTCAGCTTTTTCTTTTCTCGTATTAAGTTGCAATACTTAGATAAAATCGCGCTAAGTTTAGAAGTAGGAGGTTGTTACGTCATAACGTGCTACAAAATGTGACACGCTGTGACGTCACACAATATTTCAAATTAATATATCGTCGAAAGTATTTAATTTTGTGAGAGAAGAAAAAATACATGTCTAAAGTTTTAAATTAATGTACCAGACGGACATTAAAATAAAATTTAGGAAACTACCCAATTGTCTGAGAATATATAGAGTGTTTTTTTTTTGCTGCTATGAAATTCGTAGTTAACAACTTATTATCAAGCAAAAAAGAACATGGAATCTGTTTCCATATAAAAAGATATATAAAAAGATCCCGTTATAGCTTCAAACGTATTAAACTAGTCTTATAAGCAGGTTATTCAGTACCAGCAAACAAAGCCTACTGCTATTCAAGTCATCAAGTATTGTAATTACGTTTAATTAACCCGTACGTCACGAGTACGTCAGTAATTCGATTACGTAGACATCAAACATTTCTAATCGGTACTGTCTGTGGCACGACTGTCTCACTAATTGCCATTTCTAGCTTGATTAGTGAGCTGAAGGAAGTACCAGCTGTTCTGTGCGTGAATATTTGGAAGGTAGAAGAGATGTTGATAAAAATTTACCTTTGATTCTAGTATTGATCGCGAATTTTCTTTTTTATATAATTTTTCACAAAATCGTCGTGTCAACTTTTATTTTTATGGCATAAGCCGGTAAACGAGCAGATGCATCACATGATGGAAAGCAATCGGCGTCGCCCATGGACACCTGGAACACCAGAGGCGTTACAAGTGCGTTACCGGCCTTTTGGGGATCAGGAGTTTGAGGATTGTTGGGGATTCAAGAATTGGGGAGATTGGGGATGGGGAGGGTAATTGGGCCTCCGGTAATCTCACTCCTCGACGAAACACAACTAACATGAGTTTGATTGTTGACTATTCCGATTACTTCGGTAGGTATCGAGCTCATGAAAATCGACTTAGCAATTTTGGTGCTCATTAACATTATACGCCATGGGGATCACCGGTCATCGTTCACCAGTTTTCTATTGGGAGTCAAAGCTTTATAATTTGTATTAAATGTGAATAGTCATAAACAAAGGGATTAAAATTGTATGTATATTAATATGATAAGAGTACTATCAAAGGCGCGGAATTACTGTTAAAATAATTGTTGCTTCCTATTTACAAACTTATAAGAAAAAGCTAAGTAAACTCTTTTTTAAGTTTAGTACTTTGACTATAAAAATTCTTGGTTAGCAAGAGCCTTCAACATTTCGGCTCTGACTATTAAAAGTAAATAAAGTAGTTAAAAGTTCAAAGTTGGTAAGTTGGTTTGGCTGTGGTCTTTGAACATTAACTGTGATGTGATTACTTCATTAATTTATTTCTAAAAATAGTAGCGCTTTTAGTTTGTTAATTAATAATTATGACTACTTGAATTGAATTTTACTTGGTAGTGCACAAAATGAATGAAATGATGACCAAATATTTTACTATTCCATGAAATATATTATAACATAACATAACATCACGCCTTTTTATCCCCGAAGGGGTAGGCAGAGGTGCACACAGAAGTAACAACCACTTTTCACTATTTAAGTTATGAGTCCCATGTAATAGGGGGTGAGCCTATTGCCATATACCGGGCACATTTCCAGACTCCGTGCTACTTCTGAGATTAAAAAAAACCAGTAATACTTTGTAATATACACATAATACATGTATATTATAAAATATATTATATTTTAAAGTATACATATATGTACAAAAAATATGCGACTTTGGTTGTGTGAAACGAATGAGTGTTATGATCAATATGTAGCTACCCACCTACTATCCAAAAACCACAAAGGCTAAATCAAACTCCAACATATGATTACTAACTAATGAATAATCTTTATTATTGCGTATTACTACATACAAAAGTTTCAACAATTCAAACCCACTTCTCAATCACAATTTGTATTTTCTTTTCTCAGTTTATACTTTTGTACTCTATCTGGTGAACTTTATATTCGTATCGTTACAGCTTAAGCCTCCCACACAGGCTAAATCTGTTTATAATTTGTTTCAAAAAGTACCTAAATAACTTCTTCAATGGAATTCTGTTCCATATTTTATATAAAACGGTAAGTTTCTTATATTTTTGTATTTATCCTAATCTGATACACGTTCCTATATTTCGGCTTTGATGTTTGATGAAACGGCAAATGGGAATTGGAATAAAAGAAATAAGTATTTAGGAGCATATTAGTTTATTACTTGTGAGGAAGTTTGCATGTTCTGAAACTAGGGCCCGCCTACAATCTTTTTGTCGTATCTTATCCAACTAAACTTTGATACCTGCACTGTCTGTCAAGCATGGCGATTGTATCCGGAGCTGTTGGTAACTTAACGGGCTACTGGGGCTCCAGTTCAAAGCAGGAGTAGGAACGGAATGGTTTAAAATCAGTAGGAGTTTGACACTGCCTCTTGCCTCACCTAAGGTGGAAGAAGTATCTAGGTGATTTTCTCAAAGAATGGTGATTGTGACGTATCCGCTTGAGATACGAAGAGAGAAGGAGACTTGTTCAACAATTGTGGGATCATAAGGATGATGACGTTTCTAAGTTGTCTAATATCACTTTGTTAGTTAATACAGCTACTATAGAGATATAGATTGTTTCAAAATTAATATATCATGAACTTAGTATTTAAACTTAATAAACGCGAGTGAAATCGTAGGTAAAATATTACATTTCATTTACTTGATGTTATGTTTCTATAATAACTATCGTGAGATATACTAAATGGACTAAAAAAGTAGGTCGCGCGACATCGCCGTGACCGCGCTCGCTGCTTGTGAAGAAGAACCCCTTTGTGGTTCGAAACTAGTAGAGCTTTTCTCAGTATATTTATGTGAATAACTCGCGATTTTAAGTTAGTTTGATATTCATGTTATCAATTTGCTATTCACGAAACTTGGTACTATCTAGAGGTATTGTTGATGGGCACTTTGGCGAATTGCAGTCCTTAGATAATAATATATTCGTGATCATAACTTGGGAAACTGTTGGACCTTCGGGCGAAGTGTTCTGTCTCAAGATTCGACGGTATTCAAGCTGGAATCAACTTTGTCTTTAACTTTTGAAGTGCGGGCTATATGCAAGTAGTTTTGTGGTCTTTTATGGTGAAAATATTTTGATTGCTAAGTATTGTGGGGCGAGTTATGTGTGATAGTTATTTATCGTCAAGTGAGCATGTCATTTATTTATTTATTTATTTAAAACCTTATCATTACAGTTTTCTCCATTGCGATAGTTTAGGCTTAAAACTAAATTTATGTACCTAATTACTAATTTAAAATAAAGACAAAACAAAACTATTAACTTAAGGCTTTGGCTGCCAATAAAAAACTGTTGAAGGCAAATCCTCCGCTAATGTCGGTCACCGGTGACTGCCATGGCGTTTAACGTGTTAAAGAAAATAAAAAAAACAAGTTTAAACTAGTTTAAAGGAGGACTTCATCACAGTCTAAATGAGAGGGGAATCTAAGGCTAGATTGAGTATTACGCTCCCTTAATGTTCATTTCTTATCATTAAAAATGTCGTGGTGGCTCGGAGGTCTAAGACCCCCGCTTCACATGTATGAAGGTGCGGGTTCGAGACCTATCAACAGCAAGTACCAATGTGATTTTTTCCGAGTTATAAGTACTTTCTAAGATTATCTAGATACCACTGACAAACAGTGAAGGAAAACATCGTGTGGAAACCTGGGCTTATAATTTCTAATTATAAGTTTAAATTGTCAACCCGCATTGACCAAGCGTGGCGATTAATGCCTTCTCCATCCATCAAGCCTTCTCCATGTGAGAAGAGGCCTTTGGTCAGCAGTACTTATAAGCTGTTGATGTATGTGATGTGAAAAATACTTTTCGCAAGAGGTGGTTCTGAACTGATTCATTTGTCTATAAAAAGTTGAAGAAGGGCCAAAGATAGAATAAAATAAACATTATTTCTATAATATCCTGAAGTACTATTTATCCCTTGCATTGTGGTTAATAGAGGCATGAAACAATAAGTAGTTCCCTCATTAATTTCGAAACAAATTGACCTTTCCTTATTATATCTGATCTATCAACTTACTATACTGACAATAACACGTTTCTTTGAGTAGGTTGTACGAAGCCGGCGAACAACAGCTGTTACTCTTTTGTTTTTTGAGTAATAGGTTAATATGTGTATAGAAAACTTATAGTTGTTATTTAGAGCAAATAAAGTTGACGTTAAGATGCTGGAAATACGGTGATTTAATTTAGCTAGACTATTTAATGAAACACACATAAATTTATTCATAAATCGTGGTTATATTTTTTTTTGTTTTCCAAAAAATAGTTGCGTTTTAGTCTTGTCATACTAAGGTATAGTTTTATATTCGTCATCAATGTTTTTCGTTTCCAGATCTTCTCATCCTACGGTCTTCCACTAAAAGAGCTGGACTTCTCACACAACAGCCTACGAAGGTTACCAGACAGATTACTGGCTGGAGTTCGAGGAAACATCACGAAGCTGGCCTTAGCTGATAACTTGCTTGGAGACAACCTGAACCCCATCTTTTCAACTGCAGAACTTCATAATCTACCAGCTTTGGAAGAACTGGACCTTAGTGGTAACAGTATACGAGGACTTGAAGAAGGTCTTTTGATTGGATGTGATGTTCTGAAGGTGAATGAAGAATAATTTATTTTTTTATTTAGTGATAGATAAGGACAGCAAGACTAACGATGAAGTTTTTGGCTTGTTTTTCTCCATACCGAGCTTCGCTGACGGACATACTAAAGGAGAGTAAAATTCTTTTGGACGTATCAAAAGTACGTGTGATGCAATGGAGCTGATGTAAACCCAACTGAATTGTTCAAATTGTATTTAGGATGATTTAGTTTATAATTAGACTCACCGACATCTGTTGATCTTCACATCCCCATCTTTGTCTTTATCATAATTACTAACGCAATTCGTGTTCACGAGTCACGTTTATAACAGGATGTTTAAGGTCTACCCCTAACTACATTTCAAACGCAAACGTAAACGCGAAAGTTTAAGTAAACATTTCCATCCGCAGGTCTTACGACTGGACCGCAATAACATGAACCATGTGCCCTCGTCCTCCCTGAATGGACCACAAGCCTTGAAAGTTCTCTCCCTCAGAGAAAACAGAATAGGTAAGATTGTATTCTAGTCTCTACTAATGAGGTCTTAAGGCATATATTAAGGAAACTGTTAAACCATTTTCAGTTTATTAACGAGAGACTGAGTTTTGAATTTCAAATTAAGGACATTTTCTTAGCTGTGTCTCGTTTAGTTTTGCCGCGGGTTAATTAAACAATTTTATTTGTGCTTTGTTCCTGTGTAACTGTGTCTGTTGAAGTGGGTCGTTTTCATTTAAATAAATGATAGACACTTTTTATGTATTTATTCTATAAACTTAACAAAACACATTGTTGGCGACAAGCGATTATTCGTATTCTGGACGGTTAACTTCCCATGAAACGACTAGATGGCGCTATTGTAACATCCCATGTTTAGATTATAATATTTACCTTAGTACAACAATGTCAAATAGTTTTAAATTGAATTTCGTTTGTTTATCAAAGCAACGTTGATTAATTTACTGCAATAGAAGTCAGACCATTAATTTGCATCGCTAGCAATAGTTTGTGTGGAGAAATTAATTATTTGACTTCTGTTAGATATAGTCAAATAATTATGCTATGATTATGGATCTACATACACGAATTAACACCATTTCAAACCCACTCGCATAGATTTAATTAATCAAACCGCATTTACTAAATGTAATTTCAATTCCAGCACTAATACGACAAGGGTCCTTCGTGTCACAAAAGACGTTTGAAGAAATTGACCTCCACGCAAACATGATATCGACAATCGAAGGTGGCGCTTTTATCGGCCTCGGAGATTTACAGGCTCTTGATCTCGGTCGGAACAGACTCTCCAAGTTTAACAGCGATGTATTCCAAGGAGCCGAGAATTTGGAAAAGTTAGACCTCTCAGAAAACTTTATAACTGACTTCCCAACAGTGGCGATGAAATCATTCGTCGCTTTGAAACACTTGAACCTCTCCAGCAACATGATCACGGTGAGCACCATCCAAGTTTTTAAAACTTTGTTCCCGATTGTTATTTCTGTAATGATCTGGAAATCTGATATGGACCTTGTTATTTTTGAACGGCGATATTTTTATTTCGAAGTCAGCAGAGTAAAAAGGTGTTGTTTTTTTTAAAAGAATGGTTTGCAGTAAATGCCTATTTAAATATTTAAAATTACGTGCCTTGGAGTGGATTCATTCAATCATCTACATTTTCCTTACTACGGCGTAGCTATTCGCGTAGCAGAGCTACGGCGTAGCTCCGAAATTTAACACTTCAATAAAATTATGATTACATAACGCTCTCATGTTGGAGGGTTATATTTAGTAACTCAAGGGCACATATTTAGCATAACCACTCGATATAGTCGAATTACTTGAACGTAACCACATCTGTTAGGCTTTATTAACTTATTGTAATTATCCTTGGGTAACGCGACTCGATCGCAGATAGTCAATCTTCCAGAAATTTGCCTAACCCGTAATTTCTCGTTAACAAGTTAATTAACCCCTTTGACACGGAAACTAATATCGGCGTTATAACTGATTGAACATTCATTCTAGCAATTTTGGACTTAATTGACATAGTAATTGTCAATGTTTCTAAAATTTCATTAATATTGTTTTTGTTTTGCTCCTTTGTTTTATGTTCAAGGTTATTGTAAATTTGGAAGTCGATTGTTTTCTTCTTAGAATTTAAGTTATAAATTTAACTCGTCATGGAGTTGAGACTTTAAACTCAATGTAACTTGAGATGAAAATACCTTTGAATCATAAATATCTTTCGACTAGCTAGTGTATAGTTGATAGGTTCTCTATTTATAAGACCTTTTGTTATAAGTTAGACACAATGAAGGCTCATCTTCATTAAATTCTCATTAGTTATCAACAGCCTTGATGAACCTTACACTTTTATTGCAGAATATAGACAACAGCCATTTGAGTACTTTGGTGTCCCTACAAGTATTGGACCTGAGCAGGAACAATTTGGTGAAACTGGCACCTGGTACCTTTGTCGGACTCACTCAGCTGCGCTATTTGGATGTTGGGGTCAATGCACTGCGTACTGTAAGTATATCGTTTTACAAATGCTAAACGTTCGTTATGAATTAGGAAAATATGTCGTGGAGTTTATTCTTTCTACAATTTCTATGCATAACCATCAAATACGTTTTAAAAAAATCTGTTTATAATTGAGTCACTTCTATGTATTCTTCAGGTAGATGATCACTTAGTTTTATACAAGTAAGTTATATGGAATCCTATTTATTTTCCAGGTGGAAGATGATGCCTTTGACGGTTTAACAAGTCTTGAAACGCTGCTTCTACGAGACAACAACATCTTACTCATTCCTGCGACAGCTCTTTCCCGCCTACCAAGCCTCGTGTCAGTACATCTGGGCTACAACAGAGTCACTGCACTATCAAGTGACATCCTCAAATCGGTATCCGACAGAGTTACATCTCTAGTACTATCAAGAAACGTCATTAGAGAACTACCACCTGGAGCATTCGACCATTTCAAAACTTTGCACCATTTAGATCTGTCGGGAAATCTACTGAACTCAATCAGCGCTGAAGTGTTTAGTGGATTAGAACAATCTCTACAATTCCTCTCGCTAAGTCAAAACAGGATACTAGAGTTTGTCGGCGAACCGTTAAAGTTTGTCAGTGTTTGGTTCTTAGACATTTCAGATAATCAAATATCCGAAATACCAGTCGATGCATTCGAATTCATTCCAAGCCTAACTCATCTCAATCTTAGTCGCAATTCGCATATGAATGTACTGCATCAAAATGTGTTCCAAAATAACCCAGCATTAATGAGCATTGATTTAAGCAACGTTGGCTTGAAAGCACTTCCAGTCAATCTGTTTTCCAAGAATTTCAATCTGCGGCGGATATATTTGTCAAACAACCTCTTAACAGAAGTTTCAGAGAATACATTTAAAAACCTTAGAAACTTAACTCACTTAGACTTGTCTTATAATAATATCGTGAATATTAGAACGCCAGCTTTTGTGAACGTGATGTCTATACAGTACTTATCTCTGAAGGGCAACCAGCTGAACGCCTTTAAGGGGGAGTTCTTCAACACCGGAACGAGTCTCGAAGTTATAGATCTCTCTGACAACCAACTCAGTTACTTGTTCCCGTCCTCGTTCAAAATCCACCCACGCTTGAGAGAAATCATACTTACTAACAATAAGTTCAACTTCTTCCCGTCAGAACTTATAAGTACTTTACAATATCTTGAATTAGTGGATTTATCTGGTAATGCTCTTAAGAACGTAGACGAGCTCGATTTTGCCAGACTTCCGAAATTAAGGACTATCTTATTAGGTAGAAACGAACTTGAGTCAATAAGCGAAATGGCTTTTCATAATTCAACACAAATCCAGTATTTGGATTTGTCAAATAATAAAATCGATCGGTTGGGAGATAGACTGTTCGAAGGACTCATTCGATTAGAAGTACTGAATTTAGGCGGCAACCTACTTACTGAATTACCGGACAATATTTTCGAGCGATCGAGACTCCACATGCTTGAAAATATTGATTTGAGCAGAAACTTATTTGAGCATCCTCCGCTGAGAGCTTTACAAAAGCAATACTTTTTCGTATCGTCGGTAGATTTGTCACGTAATCAAATAATCGATATACCGGCTGAAGACAGTGTCATGGTTAATATCAAGAAATTGGACTTGTCCTTCAATCCTTTGTCTGAGAAAACAATTAACAACGTTTTGACTGAACCAAAAACAGTGCGTGACCTAAATTTGGCAGGTACTGGTATCAAAGAATTCGGACAACTTGAGACACCATTTTTACACAAGTTGAACTTATCTTACAACAACATTACCAAGTTATCAGAAAAAACTTTCACTCGAACAACATTATTAGAATCACTGGACCTCTCGCAAAATCAAATTACTGACGTCACCGGGTCACTAGCGCTTTCGTGGCCCAAACTTAAAAATCTTTTGCGACTTAATATTTCTGGGAACCCAATGGTAATGATCATGGATGGAAACTTTGAAAATCTTTCTTCGCTACAAGTTTTAGATATTGGAAATTTGGAAAAATGTACTAGAATTGAGAAAAATGCTTTTAGATCGTTACCTAATTTGGTGGAGCTGAGAGCTTATGGATATCCTAGGTTAGGATACTTTGATGTTCAAGGCGCTTTGCAGTATCTATTGGCTTTAGAAAAATTGGATGTTGAAGTGAAAGACACGACTATTGGTGCCGATCAGTTACACTCTATATTACACCCACGATTGGAAGAGTTAGGTATCAGAGGCTCGAGACTCAAAACGGTGTCTTCCGGCGTATTAGCAGGTTTAAAAGCACCAGCAATCACTGTAAAGTTTAGGAACACTTCTATTACAAGTTTGCCACCCGCATTGCTCTTCCCGTTGCCTAGATCTTCGCAAATAACTATTGATGTAGCTGGAAGCCAATTGACAACTTTACAACCGCAGCTTTTAGTGTCTTTAGACGATCGTCGGGCGGATCTCTCAATGTTTGGCTTAGATACTAATCCGATTCGTTGCGATTGTAATGCTCGAGCGCTTAGGAGATGGTTGCCAAATGTCGGAGTTAACGATGTTCGATGCGAATCTCCCGACCATTTGTCAGGATTTTTGTTGGTAGAGATAGGAGACGACGAATTAACTTGTGAAACACGACGCAGAACAACACCCACTTCTAGTAGTATCTCTACAACACCTACTCCACGTTTAGTGCGTACTTCTTCAGAGCCGGACATCATTTGGTCAGTGGCACCATCTCATGACCGTCCCAAAGTAACCGGAGAGCCAAAAGGAGCTCCAGTCGTTGGAGTGGCGACGACAAATAATGATGATAATTTAATTATTGGAATTGTCGGCGGTGTGGTTGCATTTATAGCAATATTGATTGTGGCTATTTGTATTGTTCGATTGAGGATGACATCTACTTCATATCGGGGTGGTCCTTTGGCCAGCAGTCCGACTGCTGGAGGTCCACCAATGTGGGGTCCACCATGGCCAGGCTATGCTGGCACGCTGCCACCGCCATCATTGTCCAATGCCACTCTACCACACAAGGTGCAGTCGGGGCCAGGATCAGTAAGGTACTTGGCACCACCCCCACCCGCGCCATACTTCATTAGCTTGCCCCCTCACGACGACAAAATATATCGGTAAAACATAATCCAGTTATAGGTTAAGGTAAAAGTATAATGTTGTACATATTAGATTTTCTGCGAAATATTATTTTATGTCTCTTAAGCGAAATAAAATTGCGCCTCGAACTTGTGCAAAGCTCATAATATCGTTGTAGATATAACTGTTCCCTCTGAGTAAGTAAACTAATTTGAAATGTAATAGAATTGTAATAATTTCTATCGTAACATGGCTTGGACTAGGTTCAAATGCTAGTCATCACTGACAGACTTTAACGTAGCTTAATTTGAATAATTTAATAAGAATAATAAACGGGTGTGTGCTTGAATGAAATAGGGCAAAATTATATTTCTGTAAAATAGTTATTTATACTTACAATTAAAATTTATGCGATGCGCAAAGTCGACCACAATTCATAATTTAGCTTGGATGTGGTAATCCGTAATCGATTTTGCGCATTATTAACATAAGTTTAATTATTTAGTATGTACTATCTACCCATATTTCTGAAATAAAATATTATGTAAGAATATATTATGTTGTTGTATTATTTATTCATAAAGTTTTAAATTACGAAATGTTTTGAAGAGTAACATTACGAGTTTGCTCACTTGAGCGATCACAGGCGTGCGTGTGGCTTGCTCGCTCGCGCACGCACCGCGCGCCGCTCAAAGCAAACGGAATTAGGCAAAGCAGCCCCTCCAAGCATGAGTCTCATTAAGTCTCAAAAGAAACGGTCTGAGCCTCGGGGGCACTCTTTGAGAAAACCGCCGACGCCTTGAGAAAACACAATCTTTTAATGTTGTTCTACATTATTAATTATACGGTGGGCGCATTTAATTTCGGATTAATTTATCTAATGGTGGTACCCCGCAATATTAATTCCGGCCCACTCGTTTTATCACCTACTGGGGTACTTACAAAAGGGTTATGTTATGTTGTATGTATTTAATTATGTATTTGGGAAGCTTTGTTTATGATCAGAATATTTGCATAAAATCGTGTGGCGTGTCATTTTTTTCTCGACGCGTAAATGGGAATAGTAAACAATGTAGCGAGTACGCTTTGTGAACGTATTTCAAAATTGAATTTTGCCGGTCGCGGCGCCGGCTGATTTGATGAACGGCATTTATGTGCATGTATTGTGCCTTTGGAACGTTCGGGTAGCCGACATGCGTACTTATATGAAACTGCATTATGTATGTACATCAAGGCGTGCTAATCTGGGCGTATCTGCTCGGACACTGTTGTATGGGGATTTGGATATGCTGGGGTTTGATATCGGTCTACGCTCTTGTGAATATTATTGTAATTTACAGAGTATGTTTCAGTTATTATTAAATTTTGAAATTTAACAATATGACGTCTAGAATTTTGTTATTATGGAATAAACCGGTAGACGAGCAGACGGATCACCTGATGGTAAGCAATCGGCGCCGCCGAACACCTGAAACACCAGAGGTATTACAAATGGGTTACCGGCCTTTTGAGGATTGTTGGGAGATTCTTGGGGAGGAGATTGAATCCGGTAACCTCTCGCACACGACGAAACACAACGCAAGTGTTGTTTCACGTCGGTTTTCTGTGAGGCCGTGGTATCACTCCGGTCGAGCCAGCCCGTTCGTGCTAAAGCATGGCTCTCCCACACTTAATTTATGTACAATATTAGATTAGTTATTACAAAAAAGTGTAATTTGTTCTTGGCGTATCCTTCGGGCCGTGGTCGTCATTTTTATTATTTTTTTTTATTTTTTTTAAATCGTTGCCCCACACTAGAATTTTCTCCTGTGTCATGGGTGCGTTTACAAACATACAAGTTCACATACACATGACATCCAGACCCGAAACAACAATCTGTGGATCACACAAAGAGTTGTTCCGTCGGGAATCGAACCCGACACATTGCGCAGCAGCCGGTTGCCCAGCCACTGCGCCAACCGTGCAGTCAAAAGTCATAGTCATCAATCTTAATTTACTTAATTGATTTTATCACCAACATAGTTTAAATATGTTTTATTCAATTGAAATATTTTATTTAGAACATTTATTAAATAAATCGCTCGTACCTACTCCCGTCATGTTTAAGATAGTTCGATAAAATGGAGCTAAAGTTAAATACTTTTAAACCAAAAATGTATGAGGGACTTAATAGTTACTGTAGAAAATAGATTAATATGTGTTTGTTGACCATTGGTGCGATGTTCGACAGATAAAATATGTATGTTCGTATATAGTATAAAGTTTAGCAGGATTAAGTTCTCGGTCGGATCAAAGGTAAGTACATTTCTCCCTAAATTTACTAGAAAAACACGCCAAAAATGTAGTTAGTCAAACGTTAAACTAGTCTTCCAAAAACTCCCTATAATCCAGGAGTGCAACGCAGTATTTTATTGACAATCGTCGGCCATTTTGCATCACAGAGGGTGCTGTTTACCAATCCCCGTTCATACGGTTATTCAAAAAATTCCAGTAAAAAACTACACGTATTTTTGATGGAATTCAAAATGGCAGCGTTGCGTTGTTCAAACTCAGCGGATTGCAGCTTTCCGACATGGAATTTCAATTTGACATCACTGCCATCGGATTAGGCTACCTATATTTGCATATCGCAAAACTGTTGTTACAGAGCTCTGTCAATGCATTATTCAGTACATATTTTTGTTTTACATGTGGTTTTGTTAGATGGATTAATGTGCGCATTTATGTCTTTTAATGGTTAACTAATACAATTTGAAGCAGCCATTGTGGAGTAGCATGATTACATTCAACACAGGAATCGAACTTCATCAACATCATTAAGGCCTTTTAACCGACTTCAAAAAAAGAAGCAGATCACATTGACCTGCATGTATGTATATATGTATGTATAGTGCACGATTTTCTCGCAAAAAGTATTTGTTACATTTTAGGCAGGAAATCAAAATTAGGGTCTGAAGTCGGTTTTCATAAACGAAGTTTATAAAAGAATTATGTTATTCATATTTATGATAAAGAATTTATCCTGTAGGGAATATCTAATGGAAATATTTTATTTTATGTATAGACGTTCCTTTATGTGAAAGGGGGTTCTGTTTAAGGTTCTGTTGAATGCTATAAATGTTCCTGTCATCACAGCTCGAGGTGAAAACAGATCTTTCATTATATGTAGATTTAATAATAAATAAATAGAAGATAAGTGTAAGTAGGTTTATGACTATACACGAACTATAAAATAGGTGACAAAGAAATAAAAAAAAGTGTCAAAGAAACTGCGCATAATTTAATCTAGACTCAATTTCAGCACTACTTACGCTACTAATCTAATACAATTGTATAAAATTACACTCTAACACCATATTGTGTAGGCCTCACAATCTCGATGGTGTAATAAAAGCGTTCGTAATGTCGCAATTTATTAGAAAACGAAGGTTTATGTCGCCATTTTTTACGAAATTATACGTATCACTGCACGCCATTGCGTGTGATGGAAGTTTCTCGAAGATGCTACGCCAACGTCTGAAATCGCCAGCTTGCTAACATTGGAATATAAGTATAGAAACAGATCTATACCCCTTTTAAAGTACGTACTTAATTAAAATTAATTAAGTGTGGGAGAGTCATGCTTTAGCACGAATGGGCTGGCTCGACCGGAGTGATACCACGGCCTCGCAGACAACCGACGTGAAGCAACGCTTGCGTTGTGGTTCGTCGTGTGAGTGAGGTTACCGGAGGCCTAATTACCCTCCCCGTCCCCAATCTCCCTAATTCCTGTATCCCCAACGATCCTCAAACTCCTAATCCCCAAAAGGCCGGTAACACACTTGTAACGCCTCTGGAATTGCGGGTGTCCATGAACGACGCCGATTGCTTACCATCAGGTGATCCGTCTGCTCGGTTACCGGCTTATGCCATAAAAAAATAATAATTATTATTATGTTTTCGGCTTACTCATTTATTTTATTAAGAGACAAGAAACAGGTAAAATGGAGACAAAATCGGATGATAACACGATATTTTTTATTGAATCTTAATTCTCGGTTACACAAAACTACTTGTCACGTTTCTAAAGACTCCATTAAAATTACCATAACCTTGTATGCATGTTATTGGTATTGGTTAACGTATTGAAACTATAATGGTGCCGAAGTTGAATATAAGCGGTATCGTTAGCGAGCAAATTAGATATTATGCTCTTATCTCGTGGACTGCAGGCTATTGGTTGATAATTGCTGGTGGTTGTGAATAAAAGACCGGAGAAAATAGACGATAGTTACATTATTTCTGACACTATGTTAACTCACCTATTTATGGC